GACCTGATATTTGCTACTCTGTTGGGATGGTTAGTAGGTTCATGAGTAAACCTAAGTGGTCCCATTACCAAGCTGCTGGCAGGATTCGGAGGTATATCAAGGGAACTTTGAAGTATGGAGTGTTGTTTCCTTCTGGAAGAAAGGATGAGTCAGAACTTCTGAGTTATTCAGATTCTGATTGGTGTGGAGACAGAGTTGACAGAAGAAGTACATCTGGGTACTTGTTCAAATTTCTGGGAGGTTCCATTTCTTGGTGTTCCAAGAAGCAACCTGTTGTGGCGTTGTCAACCTGTGAAGCTGAATACATTGCAGGTGCTGTTACTGCATGCCAAGCTGTATGGATTTTGAATCTGTTGCAGGATCTGAAGATTAAAGTAGACAAACCTCTGAAGTTGATGATTGACAACAAGTCTGCAATCAATCTTGCCAGAAACCCAGTGTTGCATGGGAGAAGCAATCATATTGAGACCAAGTACCATTTTCTGAGACATCAAGTTCAGAGTGGAGTGTTAGAAGTTGTACACTGCAGCACTCAGAAGCAGTTGGCAGATGTTCTGACGAAAGCTATCAAGACTGAACAATTTCTCAGACTAAGGGATGGAATTGGTGTTACAAGTTTTGATGGAATATGAATTAAGGGATGGTATTAGAATATTAATAGTAATTCATATTTATTTAGTTGTACTATTTTCTTAGCCCCTAAGTTTGTTAGAGGGTATTTTAGTATTTTATCTTATTCTAGTAACCCTAGTTTTAGCTTATAAATAGGGTGACAATCATTGTAACTTTTATCATGTTTTGTAGCCGTCATTCTTAATAGAATATTTCCTCTGTTCATCATTTATTCACCTTTGCACCAACACTAATGAGCTGATCAATATTATTATGTTGAATTACTGATCATACCTTATTTAGAGCAACATCACTAATCCAATGAAACCTTGAATCTAGTATAAGAGCATTTAAAGTCGACTCTTTCTCCTGCAATATAAAATTCACTTAACTGTCTGAAAAAACTATGAATACATAAATGATTAGTATTTAAAGCAAACTCTGCCACCTGCGATGCGAGATAAACGAATATCAAAAATTTGTAAAATACTATATTCTAACCATAACAGAACAAAAAAATGAGACACCAGCAGAATAAACTCACATTTATCATTAATTCAGGAGTTTCATTTTTTACTAATGAAGCAATAGTAGTGGATCTATGGTAGATGTCCTTTCTAATATTTTCAAAGATGTGTTTACAAAGATTCCTTGCAGTATAGTCGTTGAAAACACGTTGCAAATGTTACTATATATTCAAACTTATTGTAAAATAATAAGTGTTGCAGTAAGTTTAAGTAGGTAATAGATATTGTATCCCTGTCTCATATTCAATTTCATAACTATATTAATAATAATTTCTGTAACGAAAACCATAAAGGATAATAACTATTGCTTACATAAGGTGTAACTCAATAATCATATTTTGTAGCATCTGTTGCAGCATCTAAACAAATTAAAATATCATTAATATTCTATCAATTTCTATTTCATTATGTAACAACAACCTTAATGTGGATAATTCATAATAGGAGTGAAAAGATGTACCATAATATGTGTCATTAGTAGAATTAAAAATAGAGAAAAATCATTAGTATTTGTAAGGAGCTTATTTACACTTTTAGATTTTCTTGATGTTTCCATCGATCCTTTATGTATCTGAAATAAAAATAAATAATCACAACCAGCAATATAAGCTCAGTTAAAACTCAGCTAATGAAACATTGAATTTAAAGTATAGAAGCATTTAAAGTAGATTTCTGCCACCTGCAATACAAAGTTCACATAACTGTCTGAAGAAACTATGAAGACATAACTGATCAGTATTTAAAGCATACTTTGTCACCTGCGATAAATGAATACCAAAAGTTTGTAAAATACTATATTTTAACCATAACAAAAGGGAAAAATGAGACACCTTCAATAGTAAGTTTAAATAGGTAACAGAAGTCAGTTTTAGGGTTATCAATACCTCCAGTATAAATTATAGAAGGTTCACCTTCAATAGTTAATATGTTTTTCTCACCTTTCACAAAAATTAGAAAAATCAATAGAATAATCAACAACACAAACCCAAAATTAGTATAGAATACTAAAGATATGAAATGAAGAAAACAATTAAAAGGAGAATGAGAAAACAAAAGGAGAACGAAAAAGAAAGACGTAAAAATAAAATATTCTTCATCTTGAACACCTTCAATTATTCTTCATCTTGAACACCTTCAACTATTCTTCATCCAAATCCATAGAGTAAAAAGGTATAAACTGAAACCCAAAACATCAAAAGGCATAAACTGGAGAAAAAATATAAAAAAATATTGATGTGGTTAATCAAAGAAGAAGAAAAACACAACTCTGAACAATGAAAACAAGTATTGAGAAAGAGTGGATAGTAGAGATCTTACTTTGTCGGTTAGATCAACCACTAAAATTGAGTCCCAAAGTATGAAACCCTAAAATCTCCACATATAAAAAATGTCGATAAACAATCTGCATATATAAACAACATCAGACATTAACAACAACAACTTTCTCACGAAACACCAAACAACACTCATGATGGAAAGTCTCTAAATCCACAGAATACAAAACATATTAACAGAGTAAATAAAAAAAATAGAAGGTTGAAATCAATCTTGTTTTAGAATACTCACCAATGTCCACTGTGAACCAAAACTAAAGAAGAATCCATCACCGAAAAACACAAGGATCGTCGTTTGTCGTTTGTGTTTCAGCTCCAACCACCATCTCCCCACGAAAATGCAAATCTGCCATCGAAATGCAAAAAGATGATAGATTTAAAGACAAAATGATGAAGAATGTTTAAAGAATGAAAACGAAATACAGTTTAGGGTTCTAAGCAAATAGAGAAGAAGATGAAGAAAGTTGAGAGTGTTAGATGCAACGAATTCAAAGAGATAAGATAGAAGAGAGAGAAATAATAATATTAAATAATTCACCCATTTTGAAAGAAAAATAAAAGATACCTATAAGCATAGGAAGGGAGTGTGAAAAATTGAGTGTTGACGTGGCTAAGCAAAATGGAAGAAATGTTTTCAAGCCAGCCATGTGGCGTGTTGTGTGGTCAGCAGAGTAAAATGGACTTTTCGAGAACACATTCTTTTCTTATATGGTAGATTTTTTATTTCAAATTAATCATTACTATTTTTCCTTTGTTGTTTTCAATTATGTTAATTTTTATTTTTAATATCATAATTTTAATTATACTATTCTTTTACAATTTTTATTGAATATTCTATAAAAAATATTAATTTGGTAAAGAATAAATTTATAAAATTATATTTATTTTGTGATTTATTTAAATTGATTTTATATTTGAAAATTGAAGTGGTGTCTTTTATGAAACATAATATTATATTTAAGAATATTAATAAAGTTGGGTTGAGTCATTAATTTCAAATTAATTGATTCTGTACAAAATATAAATTTATTATACCAACAGTGTTTTACTTGAGGATGAGATACCCAAATGAATATGTTCGGATTTTAATAAATAGACACGTCATAGAAAAATAATATCTGAAAAACAAATATTGTTTAATGTAAATTGTTGTAATTTTTTATTCTATTTAATAAAATTAGTTGATAGTTGGTAGTTAATAATTGATAGTTTATAATGATAAGTTAATTTGAATGTTTGATAAATTAGTAGTTAGAGTTAGTGTCTTAAAATTAGGACCGTTCCGCTCGATCAGACCAGTTACACCGTGAATCAGAGAGTAGAGCGGTTCAGTCAAATCATCAGATTAAAGTTGCAATTGACCTAGTGAAAATCTGTGTGACATAGACAGTTTACTGATCAGACTAGTGAAACATAGATTTCTTGATCAGGCAGATTTATCTTTTTTATATGGGTAATGCTAACTTGTACCCTAAGGGCACAAGTTAAGAGATAAATATAAAAAATATTTCTTGGAAATTGTGTATTAAATTTATTTGAAACTTACCATTAATAAATTTATTGATTTTTCCAATACAAATTTTCTACTTATGAATTTCTTAACTTGTACCCCAAGGGCACAAGTTAGCATTACTCTTTTTATATTTATTTATTTAGCTTAATTATAACTTTAATCCTTCTATTTTTATTTTTCTTAAGTTTTGATACCCCTATTTTAAAATACGATTTTATTATTATTTATATTAATTAAATAATATTAAAATTACAAAAATGATTTAATAGTTATGAAATTTATATCAAAAATTTTATTTTATGACTTTTTTTAATTTTTATAAAATGAATTAAAAGTTATGCGGTCCGACCAGTGAGTCACTGTTCTAACAGAAACTCAGTGACTCAATAGTTTGATCGGGTCGATCATCGGTTCGAATTTTAAAATTATGGTTAGAGTAGCTGATAAATATAAAATGATATAAAAGAACTTTCTTAATTATAAAATTAATACTCTTATTATTTTATTATATTATTTTTTATTTGATAAAAATATATGTGTTAATAAAAACATACAAAACATAATTTGAAGATAACATCAACATATATTAAATTTATATATAAATTATATTATAAAAATTAACGAGATATATGAAATAATAGTATTGTGCAAATGGACATTCAGAAGGCGTACGACACAACTCAATGGAAATCTTTGGAGCACATTATGGTGGAGGTTGGTTTCGCTTAGATTTTTATCAAATGGATATTGTCTTGTGTGACAACTATGTCATATAGGTTCTCCATATTAATGGAACCCCTTTAAATATCCTTCAAGATAGAAGGGACCTTAGACAAGGAGATCCCATCTTCCCCCTTTCTCTTTGTCCTCGTTATGAAATATCTCAACTAAGTTCTTCAAGGATTAGATATGAATTCGAACTTCAATTATCACCCTAAATCTGATCGATTAAAAATTATATATTTATGATTTACCGATGATATTTTGTTGTTTGTGAGAGGAGATAATGAGTCTATGAGATTGATCATGGAAAAAGTGAATGAATTCTCTGAGGCTACGAGGTTAACCATTAGCATCCCTAAGAGCAAGATTTATTTTGGAGGGGTCGATGATGAATCCAAGAAGAATACTCAACAGACAACTAGGTTTGCAATAGGAAATTTGTCATTTAAGTACCTCAGAGTTCCCCTGACTAACAAAAAATTGACTGTATATGATTGCCAATCGTTGATTGGTAGAATGATGGTGAGGCTAAGGCATTGGAATACCATATTATTGTTCTATGCAGGTAAGAATCAACTTGTGAAGAGTGTGATTTTTTCTATTGTCAACTATTAGATGCATATTTTTTCACTGCCTAAGAGGGTTATCTCTCATATTTATATCATATGTAGAAGTTTCATATGATTTGGTAAGGATAACATAACGCGTAAAGCCCTTATTTCTTGGAAGCACATTAGTGATCCTATTTCCGCAGGTGGCCTTAATGTTATTTATCTTAAAGATTGGAATAAGGCAACCATTGGAAAATTATTGTGGAATGTGTATACTAAAAAGGACAGAATGTGGGTTAATTGGATCCATGTGTTTAAGAAGAACGACGGGTACGAGATATCATGTGTTTAATTTCAATCCCAAACATCAGTGCTTCTGGATTGTCAAGGCAATTTTCAAACAAAGAGATATCATTATGAACTCTATGGCTTGGGATGTGTTTAAGAAGAACGACGGGTACGAGACTAAGAGGATGTATTAGATGTTTAGAGGGATCAAACCAAAAGTTGGATGGAGAAGTCTCTTTTTTGGTAATCTTGTTAGACCTAGAGCAGCGTTCATTCTTTGGATGACATGTCAGGACAGCCTTTCCACAAAAAATCATTTGTTCAAGTTTGGAATAACCACATACGGCAAGTGTATGTACTGCAATCTACCAGAAAATTGTAATCATCTTTTCTTTGAACGTGACGTGACCAAAAATGTTTTGAATCAAGTTCTAAATTGGTTTTATGTCTATCATATTCTAAAAAGGTGAGAAATGGAGCTTAAAGACATATGTAAAATGACAAGTGGTAAGGGATGTAGCCATGCAGAAAGGGACTCTTAAAACTCACCTTTACTGAAATCGTGTATGCTACTTGGACTGTCAGGATTTAATCGAATGGTTATAAGTATAAAAGCTAATTTAATTATTAGCTTAAATTCAATTTAAAAACTATGATGTGGAGTAAGTTAAAAAAACTTATTCTTAGAGTAAGTTGATCTCCAATATATATATATATATATATATATATATATATATATATATATATATATATATATATATATATATATATATATATATATATATATATATATATATATATATATATATATATATATATATATATATATATATATATATATATATATATATATATAATAGTAGATTGAAGGATAAGAATAAATTTTTGCTATAATAATAAAGGTTTAATTGAAATAGAAAATAATAAACTATTTCAAATAATTTTTGAAAAAAAGTTAAAAACTAATAGAAAAATCTATAACCAAAAAGTTAAATGAGAATTATCAAAATAGAATTTTTATTGATACAAACTGAAAAGCTAATTTTTTTTTTTACCGAAGAGTTATTTCATTTTTATTCAGTTGTTTGTTTCACTATCTGTAGTGGGACTTAGTATTGCTCTAACGCAGAAATATAACGTGGTTTTATACTTTTCATTACACTTTGTTTCTTCTAAATAGTGTGAGATATAATCATAAATGGTATTTTCTGAAATCCAATGCAATAACCTTTGAAAAACTGAAATAACATCATGAATCCATAGTGGTAATGTTAAAATACGGTGGCGTTTAAGGAAAGACTTTTCCACCTTAGTGCATGTAATGTTAAAATTATAGATATATTAATTTATTTATTGAACGATTTAGATGTTGAATCGATTACCTACTGCTATCTTCTTATATTACACCATAAATAAAAAAAGAGGTTTCATAGTTGATTGTTTATTAATGTATTTATTTGCTAAAATATTAAATAAAAAATATTATTTCTCTTCAACTCTTATAAGTGGCATATGATTGAGCGATCATCCTATAAGTTTTAATTGGGCTTCGTAAATTTAATTTCAATATCAAAACTTTTGAGAGTAACCGTAGTAATGCTCAGAAGATGTCTGTTTGACTTCATAGAAGATTTTGGCTTAAACTCTTAGTCTTAGGACTAGGGGCCTTAGTTTTTGGTGTTCTCTTTCAGTTTCTTGGACATTTTGTATTCATATAAGATTCTTGCATTTATAGAAAGATGGAAACGAATTGGACAGAAGTTAGCTAAAAACACCACAAACAAATCAATAGGATTTTAATCTAAAAAGCTAAATAAGGGAAAGATCTTGTTGACGGCGAAAAAATATCATTATTCTTTTTCACAAAGTCTTCATAAAAGTCTAGTGCTAAGGAGAGGGCTGAGCTATTCAACGCCGCATCTCGAAAAATTATCGAAACATGACACTTGCGCGAAAGGCGCGGAAATGCGGTTCGACAGAGTCGCCATCGAATTTTATTTATCCCAAAAAAGAGAGAAAAGAAAATATTGAGAAAACCTTTAAGGAGAGATAAGAACATGGTCGTCGCAACCACGTTTTGGGTTCAGGAGTCGGTTACGTGTAGGGAAGGTATTAGCACCCCTCACGTCCGTTGTACTCAACAGGAACCTCTTATTTCGATTTGTAATGAGCGCCAACTAAGCTTATTTGTTTTCTTCTCAACGATAAATGCGAAACGGTAAGATAAAATGTTTCAATACTAAGGGGAGATGGGTGGTTTTAGGATAGGGTGCTCGCCAAGGATTGGGGCCATTGTGCCTACGTATGCTCATTGGAACGAGAATGAGAAACCAGAGCTTTCGTAGTTCGACTACGGGAAAGGATAGAGGGACAACAGGAGATGGATAGAATTGTGCTCACCAAGATCATCACAATATTGTGCCTACGTATCTTACATTCGAATGAATGAAGAATCATAGCGTCCGTAGTTCGTGGAGACGACCACGAAAAAAGAGGAGTTCTTTTATTGAAGTTTGTTTGGAAACGAAAGATTGAATGACAAACAACCCAAGGGGTGTGACTCGAGAGCTATCACTTAAGAATCCAAGGACTGCAAAACTCCAAGAACTCAGTTCTTTCGGAAGTTGATTAGAAAGGTTTGAGGAAAGGTTGAATGTTTTGAATTCGAAAGATTGAATGAATAACAACCCAATGGGCGTGCCTCGAGAGCCATTCACTCGAAGATCCAACGAATGCTAGATTCCAAGAATCCTCTTCATTTGTAAGTTGATTAAGAAAATGTTTAGATAAGAATTAAGTGTTTTAAGATGAAAGGTTGAATGAATAACAGCCCAAGGCGTGTGCCTCAAGAGCCATTCATTCGAAGATTCAAGGAATGCTAGACTCCAAGAATCTTCTTCTTTCAATGTTTTTTTTAAGAAAATAGTTTGAAAACGATAGAGTCAGATTGGTTGCGAAAAGAAGTTGACGGCGAGGCAAAAGGCACTCGACTTATAAGTTTGAATAAAATACCACTTGACATTGGATCAAGGGTTTGCGAAAGAGGTGAGAATCAATACTAGTCCCTAGAGGTGCTCATAATAATGAAACCATGATGAAAGATGTGTGAGTGTGTGTGTGTGTGTGTTAGGTTAATGGTGATGCTTACGAGCAATCGACTTATGATGGGTATTTAAAAATGGCTCGATGACGAATCGATAATTACTTTGAAAATAATTTTGTCTATGCTAGTCCCTAGGGGTGCTCCTAGTAAACAAACCACAATCAAAGCAAAACAAATGCGTACATTAGAATGGGAGCGGGATACATGTAAGTTACACGGGATTGCACAAAATAAAAGGTCTCATTGTCAGGTAGCCCAAGAGGAAGCCGTGTGTGTGCGGGGTGTTCTAAACTAAGTCTTGAGAACGAGTCGGAAAAAAGTTCCAAGATAGGATTTCTGTATAAATTCCAAGTTCCGTTGTTCGGAAAAGTAACTGCATTCCACCAATTTACGCTTTTAGGATTTCGATATTTTTTAGTGTGTTTTCGAATAGTGTGAACAAGGTATGAATAATATGAATATGATATGGACAATATGAATAATATGACAAGATAAATATCAACAATAATATAATCAAGATAATATCCACAATAGTATATGAACAATAATATAATCGAGATATAATGATAAAAATTAAAGCAAGAATATATTAACTGAAATTAAAGTTAGTAGTTAGTTGTTGTTGAATGAATCGGGTCGACTATAACACTAAATCATCGTAGCACGATCTATGACGAAGATCATACTATAGGAGGTCGCGCAAGCTGATATTTATGCTAAAATACGATGGAGAAATGATATTGAGAATCATTCTCCAAAGAAATCGTGCCACACAAAAAGAAAAGGTGACGGTCTCGTCTTAATCACAAACTTGCGTTAATTAATCGAAGGTAACCTATCACGATCCCAAAGTATAGAAAATGATCTCAATAATCATTCACTATAGATTTGAAATAATGAAGGTTAACAACTTTGATAATCAAAGTTCGCAAATAAAAAGACTTCATGGACCAAGAATTGAATCGAAAAAGAAAACCCATAATGAGAATTGAAAAGAAATAAGAAATAAAATTGAAATTAATATCTAAATAAATTCGAATGACGTAAACAAGAAATTAATAATAAAAATGTTAAGAATTACTATTTTTTTTAAAACTTAAAAATAATAAAATAATATAGAAATAAAATTTAAATAAAAACATGAAGAAAAGGGACGGGGTCCGTTGGAAATAAAAGGGTTGTGGAATCATATGGGCCCAACCCATCATCTACACATCAAAAAAGTTAGCTCGGGCTTCAAAAAACAAGGGGTGGTGCGCAGAACATAGTGGGTGTGTATGTAACACCCTGTTCCCCAAAATAAAATAAATGCAATTAAAATTAACAATTATCAGAGTTTCACACCACAAAACGGGATGTCACAACAATAAACTCAACACGGAAACATTTTCATTAAATGATTTTCAACAAAATAACACAGCGGAAATTCTTCATCATATATATACATATCCTCATATACATGTCATATACATCAACCTCGGCCAACTGCCCAAAATACACCAGACATTTATTCACAAAAAGAACTCATCAAAACATGATACGCCACAGGGGCACACAAAGTCATCAGATGAACATAAAACTCCCCAAAGCCCCGGTGTTACGTACCAGAGCATCCCTACGACTCACCACAAACCAAGCTAGCTACACACCTGAATTATCTGTACTTCCGAAGA